GTGTGCGTGCTAATCACCCTTACTTGCAGCTGAGAGCAGGGTCTTAGCCAGCCTACCGTCCAGCCGTCTTTTGGACGGCCATTTTCAAATTTGGACGGCCTTCTAAAAAAGACGGCTTTTGGACGGTAAACCTGCCAAACCAAAGATTCCTAGGCCTAGCTGCCAAAAACCGTAGAATATAACTATATAAGATAATTAATTGCTTTTTGTTTTTTTTGGTTGTGTTCTTCACTCACACTATAGCTTATCAAAGCTACAAGTACTGTATTTATAGCATGAAAGTGACAACATAATATCAATCATACGATTAATATATTGGCAGATTTACTTAAACTGTACTACTGTAGTCAGTGTAGTGAGTAGTCACATAGTCTGAATAATTGAATATGTTATTTGTTTTTTGAGCGATTCTCAAGTGCAGTCACCGATTACTCCCAGCATTCGGAAATAATCACATTGAATTACTGGTGCATGAAGTGGTGCCATGGTTCCATATGGCAAAATATGGGTGTCGTAAATGAAATTTCAAATTTGGACACCCAAGTTGCAAATTCTGGCTAAGACCCTGGCTGAGAGCTAAGCAGAATTACGAAAGACACAGCTCGACGTGATCGAGTCGAAGGCTTTCTGAGGGAGTCTCTGACAGCCACCTTATGATACGTGTCTGGTCACGGAGCACAGCTACGTGGGAGGGTCAGTTGGGGGCTAATCCCAAGCCATCCTGTCAACATTCCCTGTGGGAGGGAACCTGACTACCCGGAGAAAACCCACGACTTTCAGTAGAGCGTTGACTGACTCTTTTCACATGCAGCTCCAAATACAAGCCTACTACAAGCCTTAAAGTGCACCTGACCTCAATTTCTTTTTTATAATTTCATTCTGAAGAACTTCTGAAATTATATAATAACTTATTTTGAAGATTTTCGTTTGCTCACTTTGTCTCTGAGTTATTTCAGTTTTATTGATATGCAGATGTCTGGAATTTACGTCACAAATGCATAATGACTTAAAGTAAAAGCTTGTATATCGCATTCACTATCGAATTTAAATCATTAAAATCCATAGTGAAGTTGTGGGAGGATTACATATACCTATGTAAAACACCATTTAGCCTTATTTCATGATATTTAACTGTACCTTACATTCTTTGATCGGTCATTATTCACATGTGACGTAAATTCCGGACATTTGCATATCAATAAAACTGAAATAACTCAGAGACAAAGTGAGCAAACGAAAATTTTCAAAATAAGTTATTATATAATTCCAGAAGGTCTTCAGAATGAAATTATAAAAAGAATTGAGGTCAGGTGCACTTTAAAGTACATATGACACGAAATTTCTTATTTTCTTAAATGACAGAACTCTTTAAGCTGTAGTGTAACTTCTTTTTCAATTTGTTTGATATGCAAATGAGTGTAAATATGTCCGCTAATTTATGACGTCACTTTGGTTGCAAGCTCTTCAAAATGGTTGAATATCACTGCAATCATCCAAGCTGATAATTTCAAACTTCACTCACTGGTAAAAGTGATGAATCACTAGAGAAAAACGTGAACTGATATCTACAGTATGTGGAGTTAATACATTTATAAGTTGGGCTTGCAAACAAAGTGACGTCATAAATTAGCGGACATATTCACACTCATTTACATATCAAACAAATTGAAATATCTCGGGAACAAACCATAAAAACAAGAAACTGCAAAAGAAGTTACACTACAACTTAAAGAGTTCTTTCATTTAAGAAAATAAGAAATTTCGTGTCATATGCACTTTAAGTAATAAGTCCTTTGTATGTTGGCATGGCGATAAAAAACATATAATACTATTGTTTGTGGAAACACCACGTAAATTTATTACTGCAAAGCTTTCGATCCGTAAGCCCGGATCTTCATCAGTGCTAATAATATGTTATACATATTATTAGCACTGATGAAGATCCGGGCTTACGGATCGAAAGCTTTGCAGTAATAAATTTACGTGGTGTTTCCACAAACAATAGTATTATAAGCCTTAAAAGTAGTCATGATACAAAGCAACTAGTCAAGGCTTAAGTAGATTATATATTTACAATCCTTCGTCTTGTGCATCATTTTACTACATTGAAGAAAAGGATACATCTAAATGATAATTCGGATCGGAACTATCAAGAACAAGTTGTTTCTCAAAAATATCTAAATCGACTCCTGCTGATGACGCCTAAAAAACAATTTAAAATTTATCAAGGCGCGAGGTTGCCAAGGGCGAGAGGTTATATATCTTATACAACACGGGCACAAATGCTGTATTATGTATCTTGTGAAACGCAATGATTTAAACAGTCGTGTTTTTGCGATTTTGACTGAGAATATAAAGGGAATAGTTTATGCAAATCAGGAGAATTTTGTATATATGGATACAACACATAAAAAAATGAACATTGATTTCTTCGCAAACCATTAATTTTATATGAGTTTTACTCATCATTTTGAAGTTGGCAAGGGACTGTAAAAAATCCTATATGACCCCAACTTCCCTCACAAGGCTACGCTCGGTCCAGTAAAAGTGATAGCCTGGGGACGAGATGGCTATATATGGTAAAAAGACGAGAGAAGATTAGAGTATACTTACACATAAAGGCAGTTCTATATTAACCACTAACTCCTGCGGTCTGGTACTAGCTCTGGAGTCTCTGGAAAGAAAAAGCACATTTTGCTAAAGACGGTGTAATTTTGGTATATGGTCCAAATAAATCCAGCACGATTTATGATTTAGGAAAATTGCTGTATTTTCATAGCATGGTTTGGGGTCGCCCCGTGCCACAGACTTTGAGATTGACTCAAATCTTTACCGAGCTAACAAATACCTTACCATTGTACCTAAGCTTACCTTGCGTTCGTAAAATTTTGTAGATCTAAATGTCCCCGGTGGACAATGGAATATTTTGGTGTACGAGAATGGTTGTCGGAAGACGGACCATTCTCAAGACGGCTCGAGCTTTCATTTGTCTTATCGTTTACATCTGGTGTTTCGTTTTTGTACGGATACGGTAGTTTCTCGTTGCCAATCTCAATGTCCGCTCCGGCATTCTTCACACCCTGAAATGTAGAATTGTGCAATTATAATATTGCCAGATCATCGGTATAACGAAGCCCTGGATCAATTGGGTGAAGACAGAACTTAACCAACAAACTTTTTAGAAATATTGTCAACGATCCTGAGAACAAACATGACTTATTGCCTCCAGTGAACTCTACAGAAATATGCCTGCGAGAAAGAAGAATGTTTCAAATTCCTAATTTTAAGACGATTTAAATAGATTCAAGAATGATTTTATTAATTCATGTAAATACGTAATTGAATCGAACTACTGATTTCCAACACGGTTAGTCGATCTAACTTTTAACTACTTGAATGTACAACTTAACATTATTCAGCCAACGTGCAAGGCCTAAGTCACTCGGTCACTCGTTGAAAATTAAGCCCCGTTTACACTACGCTCAATTTTTGGTACGGCACGGATAAAATTGGCACCCGTACCACCTTTTTGGTTCTTGGACTACCTATTTAGCTAAGCCCCGTTTACACTACGCTCAATTTTTGGTACGGCACGGATAAAATTGGTACCCGTACCACTTTTTTGGTTCTTGGACTACCTATTTAGCTAAGCCCCGTTTAGCTAAGCCCCGTGCCGTACCAAAAATTGAGCGTAGTGTAAACCGCGGGGCTTAAGGCTCTGGGTTAAATGACTAAAGGGAGAGATCTGATTGGCTTCTCAGAGTACTGCTATTTCGCAGAAGTTAAGCAAATTTCGCTACGAAAAATTTTTCTATCAAAATATGTCAACACAAATACTTCGTTTCTTCGTAATACTTGTCTGTGAAAATTGTTACGGGTGCTGAAGCGTCCCAATTCAAGAGCATGCGCTTTAGAAACAATTCGTTTTCCACTACACCTGAGGTCTGCAGAGAGCCAATACTCAGGCTACATACTGTACTTACTTCATCGTTTGATGTTCGTATAATAGTCGATGTTTTCGTCCCCTTGAATTTCACTTTTGGATACTTTAGATCTAAACAGTAGACAACAACATTAATTTTAAAATTAATTTCTCGTTCATTAATTTTTTCGGTAAATTTATTACTATGCTGAGCATGACAATACATACTTTTTCTGTCGAGTTTAATTTTCCAGTTTCTTTCAATTGCATCAAATGTTGTATCAAGAATAAGCTGCTTGAACCGGGGGTCCTAAAAACAATATGCAACCAGTAAGCCAGGGTAAAAAGATACGGACTTGGTATAACATACCAAATACAATATATTTTAAACTGTGAACCGTGATTTTTTAAAATGACCTTTTGTCCCATTCGATACGTTTCCGTATGGAAAACAATGTCGTAAACTGTACATTTCTTTGCAGCTACAAAAAATATTATAAAAAACATTGAATTACAAATAAACTATTAAAGGAGTAACATTTTATAAGTTTAATTAACCCATTGAGTAGCAGCACTTTATCCCCTTGACGATAAAAATTGTCTGGCATTAGACAGAGTAAAATAATAAAGCAGGGCGCATTGCCACTTAAAGGGTCAACAGGATGTGTATTGATATTTTGTTGACGTTAGATAAAATAAGTAACATTAATCTCTAAGTTAATTAGTTAATAATAGACAGTGGATATGATTGACAGTTTGCATGTTTCACGAGTCGAAAACAACATGAGGACAAGGCGTGTGCTTAGGAAAACATACGAAGCAAATGTAGATTAAAATGTGTTAACCCGCCAAGAAGTAAGTTCATATTTGTGTATTAGAGTATGTATAGTGTAGAATTAGAAGTAATTTGTAGTTGTAATTCAATTTATAGATCGAATAAAAACAGTGTAAACAATATACGATTTGACGGGCAATGTATTCATTTCATCGGACCACAAATTCGATTTCCAATGCTAACCTGGCGTCCGTAAGAAATATATAAACGAAGATAAACTTGTGTGCTAACCAGAAGCTAACCATGGCTGAAGCGAAAGCTTTATCTGAAGCGAAACTAAGACGTAGAACTGCTAAAGCCGCGCTAACCCGTATAAGTAAAACGCTGAGAATTAAACTACAAAACGATAGACCCCCAGGCGAAATAACCGAAGCTTTGCAAAAGGTGAAACAGGCGTATAATGATTTAGTCGTTAAACATGAAGAATATGCCCAGAACATTGAAAATGATGAGGAATTCGAAACAGAGGAAAAATGGCTAGAAGAAAGTCAGGATGCGTATCTTCAACTAGAATGTACAACAAATGATTATATTATAAATAAAAACATGCAACAGACATTGGGCGGAAGTGTTGAACAACCGGAAGCGAGTAGCGGAAATAACGGAAGTGAAGCCCAAACGAACACTGAACAGTCGGAAACAGTCGGAGAAACTTCGGCAACTGAACAGCAAGCTGTAAATGTGAACAACCAAGAAGAAACTTCTGAAAATAATGCTCAATCGAGTAATAATGTCCAAGAAAATGTTCAACAAAGCGCCACAACACCCTGTGGATTCAAAATGGAAAGACCCAAGATGCCGCGATTTGCTGGAGACGTCCGAGATTACGTCATATTTCGAGCTGATTTTAAACATGCTGTAGATTCAAGGTACGGTAAAAGAGATGCAATGTCCTTGCTACGTACGAGCCTTAGCGGAAGACCCTTGGAGCTGATAAAAGGAATTGGTAGCGACTACGATGCTGCATGGGAGCACCTAGATTCGATATACGGAGACCCTAGATTTGTCGCAGACACTGTCACCCATGACATTTCAAAATTCAAACCACTTCGTGAAGATGAAGACTCAAGATTTTGTGATTTAACCCAACTGGTTAGAAGAAGCTACAACACGCTCAAGGAAGTCAACAGACAGTTTGACATGGATAACAATCACATGATAGCAATAATTGAACAGAAATTGCACATGAATGACAGGAAGATCTGGTCGCGCCATTTGGAAAGCAGTGGAAAAGAGGCTACATTAGAAAATCTAATCACATGGATGACAACAGAAATGAAAACAAGAATGAGAGCTACAGCGCCTCTGAGAAGTATGCAATCCAGGCATCCGGTTGGAAGTTTCAATGCTGATATTTCTGGAAGTAACCCTAAGTGCTGGGTGTGCAAGAGTTCCAACCATTTCGTTGATCAATGCAGAAAGTTTTCAGCTATGAATCCCAGTGAACGATTACAAGCTGTTAAGGACAATCATGCCTGTTATAGTTGTCTTAAGCGTGCAGGTAGAGACCACAGATCATCAAATTGTTCCAGAAGACGTCAGTGCCAAGAGAAAGTGAACGGTAACCAGTGTAAATACTACCATCATCACCTACTCCATGAAGATAACCCACATCCTGCTGCAAAGATTGGAACATTTACAACAGACAAAACAGCAATGCTTCCTATTGTACAAGCGAACATTCTCGGTTTAAATGGTCTAAAAAAGAAAGGAAACGTGTTATTAGATTCCGGCGCTCAGATCAGTTTAATTAAAACGTCAGTCGCCAAAGATTTAAAGCTAAAGGGAAAGGACGTTGTTGTGACTCTTATAAAAGTAGGATGTCAAGAAGAGGAATTACACACCAAAGTATATCGTGTTACGGTTCAGTCGCTAGAAAATCAATCATGTCACACAATTGAAGCCATTGGAATTCCCTCTGTTAGTGATGAAATTTCCGTTGTAAAAATAGATGAGGTAATCAGAAAGTTTGGTTTATCAAGAGGTGACATTCGAAGAGGAACTGGTGATACGGACTTGTTGATTGGTATCGATCAAGCGAAGCTCCATACCGGAGAAACGAAAGAAGCAGGAAATCTTGTGGCACGCCATTCCCCTCTAGGTTGGGTGATCTTCGGTGCTACAACTAGTCAGCAACTTGGAACCAGCAGAGTAAATCACGTGAAGTTCGCGACACCCGTAGACATGACCGAGTTTTGGTCTACCGAGTCAATGGGAGTTTCTGTCAAGCCATGCTTTTGTGAGCCGCAAAAGCTAAGCCCTATCGAAAGAAAAGAAGCGAAAGTGATCGAGATTCTTGTGAAAAGTTAAACGGACAGTGGCTTATATCGTATCCATGGAAAAGAGATCCATACGAATTACCAGATAATAGAGAGCAAGCGGAAAAGAAGTTGCAGGCGACAGAGCGACGACTTTTGAAGAATCAAGAACATGCAACCGCATATGATAAAGAGATGGTCGACATGAATAAACTCGGCTTCTCGAGAAAATTATCAGAAGAAGAACTTAACCAGTACAACGGCCCGGTGCATTATGTGTCACATCACGAAGTCTTACGACCTGAAAGCAAAAGTACTCCTCTACGGATTGTTTTTAATTCATCTGCAGTTTATCAAGGACATAAGCTTAATGACTATTGGATGAAAGGACCCGATCTTTTGAACGACCTTTTTGGTGTCTTACTCCGTTTTCGTGAAAGTCGAACTGCTGTTTTAGGGGACATTTCGAAAATGTACCACCGTATCTTAATA